GGAGAAACACAATAGCTGAGAAACAAAAAGCCATATACATTTGACACTAGTGGATGAAAAGTAAAAAATAGTAGCTCTACTTTTTAATAATAGAGTAACTTGTATAGGAAAGATTTGTGTGCAGACATGAAATCTGTGTTATCTTTGTAGAAGAGTATTTAAGCCTTAGAAATGGATGAATCTACAAACATGACTGGGCTTGTTATTTTGCTTGTACAGGGTGGGGCAAAAGTAGGTTGGTAGTTCATATGGAAAATAATCCTATCTAATAAAAGAGAAAGATGGTAATTGGCGTATGACCGCTACCCTTCTCATTGGCTAATCAGCGAGATATGCAAATTAACTGCCAGCCAAGATGGCGTCCGGCAGCCAGGCAGCTTGAAACTAACATGAGGCTTGCTTGCTTCAGTGATGGAGGAAACCAACGTTCCCCGCCTGCCTTGCCGGCCTCAGAGCCTGCAGTTTAAAAAACATTGTAACAAATATAGAAGCTAAACAAAACCCCAGAAACCTGCTTTCAGCCAGCCGGGATCTCAGAGCTGGAATTGATACAGAGTTTCGATTGTAGAACTGAAACAAACCAGATACCTGCTTTCAGCAGCGGATGCCTAAGAGCTGGAGCCTCAGAGCTAAAGCTGGCCCAGAATAAAAAGAAAAAAAGGAGCAGTTGGGAGCTTCAGTCCCAGCCTGAAAACAGTCCTCAGCCCCTCACCCAGACTGGCCAGGCACCCCAGTGGGGACCCCCACCCTGAAGGGTGTGTGACCAGCTGCAAACAGCCATCATCCCCTCACCCAGGCTGGCCAGGCACCCCAGTGGGGACCCCCACCCTGATCCAGGACACCCTTCAAGGCAAACCAGCCAGCCCCCACCCGTGCACCAGGCCTCTATCCTTTATAGTAAAAGGGTAATATGCCTCCCAGCACCGGGATCAGCGGAGCTGCGAGGCCTCCCGGCACTGGGATCAGCGCGACAGGGGGCAGCACCAAACCCCCTGATCGCCCTGTGGCTCTGTGTGACAGGGTGGGGCCACAACCTCCCTATCTGCCCTGCTCTGTTCCTGACAAAGGAAGGCGTCCCAACCCCCTGATCAGCCCTGCTCTGTGCCTGATAGGGGGGAGCTTCCCAACCCTCTGATCGCCCTGCGGCTCTGCGTGTGACAGGTGTGGCGCCCCAACCCCCCCACCCCACGGGCCCTGCTCTGTGTGTGACAGGGTAGAGCCATAACCTCCCTATCGGCCCTGCCCTGAGTGCGACAGTGGCGGCTCCCCAACCCTCTGATCAGCCCTGCTCTGTGGGTGATAGAGGGCGGCGCCCCAACCCCCTGATCCACCCTGCTCTGTGTGTGACAAGGGGCGGTGCCCCAACTCCCCTATCGGCCCTACTCTGTGACAGGTGGGAGCTCCTCAACCCCCTGATGGGCCCTGCTCTGTGCATGACAGGGGGGCGCTCCCCAAACCCCTGATGGGCCCTGCTCTGTGGGTGATGGGGCAGCGCCCCAACCCCCTGATTGGCCCTGCTCTGTGGGTGATGGGGCAGCGCCCCAACCCCCTGATTGGCCCTGCTCTGTGCGTGACGGGGTGGCGCCGCAACCTGCCCATTGACCCTGCCTTGAGTGTGACAGGGGGCGTTGCCCCAATCCCCCAATTGGCCCTACCCTGAGCATGACTGAGGGTGGCATCACAACCTCCCAATCCACCCTGCTCTGTGCATGACAGGGGGCAGCGCCCCAACTCCCCAATCGGCCCTGCTCTGAGCCCGACTAGGGGCTGCACCTAGGGATTAGACCTGCCCTCTGCCACCCGGGAGCAGGCCTAAGCCAGCAGGTCGTTATCTCCCGAGGGGTCCCAGACTGCGAGAGGGCACAGGCCAGGCTGAGGGACACCCCCCCCCCCCCAGTGCACAAATTTTTGTGCACCGGGCCTCTAGTACAATAATAAATAATACAAGAATAAACTTTGTGTACTCACAACTGTAAACCTATTTTTGCCCCACCCTGTATTTGTCCAGCATCAGCATCAACTAGTCAGAGACTTTTAAGTGAAAGCTTGGCAACAAACAAAATATGTCCTGAAATAGTTAAAATGTTGAATAAAGTCTCAGGGTTTATCAGGATATTTTCACATGGTGAAAAGGCAAAGGTGGGTGAAACTGTCAGCATTTTGGCATAAATCAAGGCAGTCACAACCAGACTGTAGTTGTTCTTCCCTGCCATGCATTTGCAGAATAAACCCAGGGGTAAGAATGTAGCAGTTTCACTTCATGTCCTTATGAAAACAGTAAATTTTATTATATCTGGACCCTGAGTACGTAACATTAAATGTGAGTGATGAAATGGGAAAATTGCATATAGTACTTCTGCTACATACTAAAGGACAGTGGTTTCAAGAAAAAGCACTCCTGCGGTTTGGAAAGAATAACTATCAAATTTTGGTTGTCAGAGTTGGCTGTTTGGCAGACATTTTGGAATATAAAGGAAGTGAGACTTTAAAGGAAAACAATTGACTGCTGTTTTCAATGATAAAATTCAAATTTAAAGTGAAAATTAGAATTTTGGGAAAACTTGTATCCACTACCAGGGAGTTTGACATCTTTCTAGTATAGTTTTTTTGTGAGATATAGTGATAGTAATATGATTTTTAGATATTATATAATGAACTGGGTCAACATTTGGGAGATTTATATTATTAAGTGAACTAATATTTTCCAAATGACCAATACATGAAATTACCAAAAAAATGCAAATAAGTAACATATCTCAACCAATTGAATGTGGAAAGAAGAAAATTAAGGCAGACATTTTAGAGAACTGATTTGCAAAAAATGTAAAATAAATCCACTCTGAAAATAGTTACTTCCATGAAATGCTAATGTAACAATATATTTATTACTAACTTAAATTTTTTTTTAATTCATAATATGGAAAAATAATGGTAATCAAAGTTATTTGGGCCCCTCAGTTTTTAAAAAGGGGTCCTGGGGCCAAAAAGTTTGAAAAACAGCTGCTCTAGCACAATGTACTAGTTAACCCTCAAATGCCTATTGAATAACTAGATGGAGTTGAAAAAAAAAAATGACTCCCAGTGTTAAGGCTGGATGACTGGGTGAACAAGTATGCCTTGTAGGACCCAGAGCAGATTTTAGTGGAGAAAGGTATGTTCATGTTGAGTTTTAGATGGAACACATAAGGATAACTATAACGGGCAGTTGGAAGTTTAGAATTTGATCTTGAGAAAACCTAAAATACCATTTTCCTTTCCAGTGAAAGTTGCTTTTGTCATGAATATATATAATCAAATAGCTACAACTTCACAACTGATTAGCAAATATTGTAGCTTTGGTGCAAAATATAAGGGTGACAGTGTAGGTCTCTTTAAACAGGGATAGTTTTTTTTTTTCACATTGTGCACTTTTAAAATTTGGTATAGGAGACCTATTCCTTTTTTTAAAAATGTTTTAATTGACTTCAGGGAGAGATAGAAACATCAATGAGAGAAAATCATCTATCAGCTGCCTCCTGCGTGCCCCCTACTGGGGACCTAGCCCACAACCCAGGTGTGTGCCCTGACTTGGGAATTGAACTTCAACCTCCTGGTTCATGGGTTGAAGATACTCAACCACTGAGTCACACTGGCTGTGCTGATTCTTTTTTTTTTTTTTTAATGTACCAAGGTACAATTAAATGTGATTTTTTTTCTCATGGAATTTTCAAACTTTTACCATATCTCCACTGAAATGTCCACATCTCACCTGAAATTTTTAGAAAAGGCTATGCTGAGAATTAAGAATGTATTACTTTTTCTATGCCTATTTACTGTTATATTTTACTTTAGGAACTCTACAGGCCTTTTAAAATACCTCCGTTTTTCATTCTTCAACTTATTGTTTGGTTCTTGCAGTGAAAGACCTGAGCTATATCTGACACTGAATATACCAGAATCTAGTTTTGGCAGTTTCTGGAAAGTTACCATTTTAAAAGAAGTGTTTAACAAATGTTTCCTTTTTTCACCACTGTCAGTCTCTGGGAGAGAACCATCTTCCTTTCATTTAATTAAAAAAAAAAAAATCTGTCTCAGTGTTTATGTTGCTATTTTTCCCTCTAAAATATACTGACTCCCAGTAACGAATGTCTAGAATCTAGATTATAACTCGTTCATTTTGTGTTCAGATTAAGATTACCATCCCATCTTTTCACATTTCCATGGTGTTAGGAGGCCCACTTCAAGGTTAAAAACCAAAGCCACAGAATGAGTTAGGTGACAGTGTCATATATAACTCAAACCCAGCTCTTCTGACTCCTGATAGCTATTTCCTATTCCTGCCATCAGATTATAAAACATAATACTAGGGTGGAAAGACTTCAAACTATTGCAGACAATGCTCTACATATCTGCATAATCTTAAATCAATTTGGTCACGTTTTTATGGTGGTACTTAAGACTACAGCTATGAAGGAACAGGCTCAAATTTGATATAAAAACTAAGCCAATGTTCAAAAATATTCATTTGTTCATCAAATATTAAATGTTCACTCTGGAAGTTACTGTACCAAGCATTTGGTAAACAGTGGTGTACATGGATGTGATCCTTATACTTTCCAGTTCTGTGGGCTATACTGACCCAGAGAGGTTTAAATGGTTTCTTTTATCAGAGGTGAAAAGTTGTTTTATGTTGATCCCATAATGCAACAACATTATGATGATGGCACTCATTCTCAAGTGTGAGGTAGTATATCAGAGAAAACCAGACTAGGAATGTTGGCTGTGCTACTAATTTGAACTTTGTTCTTTCAAGTACTATCCTTTTATTCTAAATGTAAGACATCAAAAGTATTATCAGTACTATTATATTACTAATATGACATTGGAAATCTAACTACAAAGTAAACTCTGAATACTGTAAAGATTCCACATAAAGTCTCAAGTACTCTGACCCAGGGAAGCACTGTTTCCACAAGGACTTAATAGTGTTGAGGTAATTTCACTTTCTACTCTTTTTGCAGCTGGAAAAGCATCTAAATATGAATAGTGATCCAAGAGAAAACAACAAGGAACTCAGGTGAAGTTTTTAATTCAAAGATAAATCAGTCCTTTTAAGAAACCAAAAATATTTTGACAGGTTTATGTCTGACATTCAAAAGCAATACCACGTTTGTGTACTGAAAAATAAAATCTTTAAATTTGACTTGTTGGTCCCATTCTTCATCTACTAATGTATTTGCTACTATTTACAAATAAAAATGTATCTTTGTAATTCCTTTGCTAAATCCTAGTCCTCTATGTATTAACCTGAATAACATGCATATTTTAATTTTTAAGGCAGATGGTAAACTTTTCAATAGGTCTTGTTAGATTTTATCTCACCATGGGGCAAACACTTTCACAAAGTGTAATAATTCCTTTTTTAAGGTTGATGTAAAGAGAACTTGAGCAACTAAATAGCAAAAGTACATAGGTAGTATCTATGTTGCCTAAGATGCTATGATTATGTTCTCTGCTTTTCCATTTGGCCAGGGTGGCTACAGTGGACAACAGGAACTGGTACAAAGCCTGAAAATAAAATGTACACCCAAATCTCAAGTGCATTTTAGGAAAAGTACCAATTGCCCAGCTACCTCTTCACAGCAGCTGCAAATGAAGAAATGTTCTTCTCTCATAAGACGTTACATTCACACCTGCTAACCTGGGTGAAGAGCTTTAGACCAACTTAAACAGCAAACTACTTTTGTTAATACTAAATACTATTTTTCTCTTAAAGCAAGGAAATTCTGGCATTTCCAGTGTCAGGAAGCACAAATACTATTAATCATTCTTTGCACTTAGAAGTTCCTCTTTATCTTGTCCTGAAGGATGAACAAAAGCTTGAGGTGTACGGTTCAGAAGGTAAACTGCAGCATGAAGACCACCTATGTTCACCCAGACAGTGTGCACTTTCCGCCATACATGTTCCATTCCAGATAATGCCTGTGTACACACAAAAGGCATGAAAGTAATTAGCTTCAATGACTTGCCTGCTTCTAGACAAGGGGTGGGGAACCTTTTTTTTTTTTTTTTGCCAAGGGCATTTGGGTATTTCTATCATTTGCAGTCCATACAAAATTATCGACTTTTTAAAATTAGCCTGCTATATTTGGTCAAACACTTAACTCACTACCACATGATTTTGTGGGCCTGTTCTAGACCAACCAGGAATTTTAGGTGCCAATAAGAAACATTAGGGAAAGGGAACACAAATCCTGCTCAAACTAATACAGTGGTGCCTTGACTTATGAGTGTCCCAACTAACAATACGAGCCATCTCTCAGCCGATTTTTTGCTTTGAGTTGCGAGCTAAAATTCGGGTTACGAGCCAGCTTCAGCTACCCCACCAATAGTTGGCGCAGCGAATGTCACAGTGAACGCCACATCAGCTCAGCATCACGTGTCTCACTCGTTCACTTTAAGCGATTAGCTCTTAGTTGAAGCATCAGTGTTGTGCTCGCATTTGTGCTTGCAGTTATTTTGCAAAACTTAGTTTTTTCAACCATGGATCTGAAGAAAGTAAGTGCGAAGGGCAGTGCTGAGAAGAAACGGATGATGTACATTGAATTAAAGAAAGAAATTATCAAAAAACATGACCAAGGTGTGCGTGTAATCGACTTGGCGAAGCAGTACGAGCGTAGCACTTCTACGATCTGCACCATACTGAAGCAGAAGGAGTCAATACAGGCTACAACTCCAGCCATGGGCATTAAAATAATTTCTAAACAGCGGACATCTATAAATGAAAATATGGAGAAGCTGCTAATGGTGTGGTTAATGGAGAAGCAGCTCGCAGGAGATACTGTGACAAAGGCTATAATCTGCGAGAAGGCACGAGCTATTTACGCTGATTTGCTGCAGCAGACTCCAGGCACTTCAATGGACGAGGCATCGGGCGAGCCGTTTAAAGCCAGTCGGGGCTGGTTCGAAAATTTTAAAAAGAGAACCGGCATTCATTCCGTTGTCAGACATGGTGAGGCAGCGAGCACGGATATAACGGCAGGCGAGGATTACCTCAAAACGTTTGCTGAAATTATAGCAGCAGAAGGATACATCCCCCAGCAAGTCTTCAACTGTGACGAGACAGGACTCTACTGGAAGAAGATGCCAAGGAGAACTTATATAACGGCAGAAGAGAAGAGGATGCCAGGCCACAAACCCATGAAGGATAGGCTAACCCTCGCACTATGTGCCAATGCAAGCGGTGACTGCAAGATTAAGCCGCTGCTCGTTTATCATTCGGAAAACCCCAGAGCCTTTAAGTCACATAAGATTCTGAAAGAAAAACTGCAGGTTATGTGGAGGGCAAACCTGAGGGCGTGGGTCACCAGGCAGATCTTTGTGGAGTGGGTGAATTTGGTCTTTGGTCCTGACGTTAAGAAATATCTCCAGGAAAATAACCTACCCCTGCAAGCTCTTCTTGTCCTGGACAATACACCTGCTCACTCACCTAACCTTGAAGATGACATCCTCGAAGAGTTCAAGTTTATAAAGGTTCTTTACCTTCCACCTAACACCGCCCCTATCCTGCAGCCAATGGACCAGCAGGTGATTTCTAATTTCAAGAAGCTCTTCACCAAGCACCTATTTCGCCACTGCTTTGAGGTGACGGAGAGCACAAACCTCACCCTTCGAGAGTTCTGGAAGGACCATTATAACATCGTGATATGCCTCAGAATTATCGATATGGCCTGGCAGGGTGTTACAAAGAGGACCTTGACTTCTGCATGGAAGAACCTGTGGCCTGAGGTAGTGTCTGAAACAGACTTTGAAAGACTCGAACCCGAAGTGGCAGTGGTGGAGGAGATTGTATCCCTCGGCAAGTCCATGGGCCTGGACATGGATGAAGGTGACATAAACGAGCTAATTGAGGAGCACTCCAAGGAACTGACAACGCAGGAGCTAAAGGAGCTACAGACACAGCAGCACACGGAGGTTATGCAGGAAATAGATGACACGGAGGAGGAGGTTATCTCTATAAGTGAGATAGAGGAAATGTTGGGAATGTGGGAGAAACTTTCAGACTTTATTCAAAAGAAACACCCAGAAAAAATTGCAACTGGGCGTGCGATGGAGCTATTTAATGACACTTGCCTAACTCATTTCAGAAATATTCTGAAAGGGAGGATGAAACAGACCTCATTGGACAGGTTTTTATCAAAAACTCCTGTAGATGAAAGAGATGAAAGCATGGCGAAAAGGGCAAAAATCAGCAAATAAGATTCAGTTATTCAGTTCAGCCTTTTTCCTCCAACTCCATCATCATCTTTAAGTTGTTTGATCTCCAAGGTAAATGCTGTACATTAAACTTAATAAAACAAGTGTACTGTACTACATTCTATTGTTCAGTATTGTGTTTTTATACAATATTCGTTAGTTTTAAACACATTTTTCTTATTTAAAAACATTTAACAAAACAATTGCAGTGTTTTTTGGGTGTCCGGAACGGATTAATGGCATTTCAATTCATTGTAATGGTGAAAATTGATTTGACATACGAGTAATTTGAGTTACGAGCTCCGTCATGGAATGAATTAAACTCGTAAGTCAAGGCACCACTGTATTCCTGGGTCTTCAAGCTGAGTCTTTGAGTTACTGCACTGTACCTTTGTAAAGCATTTCTTGTCCTGAGTAAGTAGTGCAGCTCGGCCTGTCCCTGGTTTACAGATACGGCTCATCTCCCATAGGCAAGCTGGGTAAAGGTTCCAGTTTCTTTTCTTGGAGCCCATCCTATAACAGAAGATCCAGTGTGTCAAACATGCAAAAAATAACTAGGACTGAGAAGTTATTAAAAACTCATTGCATCCCTAGCATGTTTGGCTCAGTGGGTAGAGCGTCAGCCTGCAGACTGAAGAGTACTGGGTTCGATTCCAGTCAAAGGCATGTACTGGTTGCAGCTTGATCTCTGGCCCTGGTCAGGGAGCATGTGGGAGGAACCAACCAATGTGTCTCTCTAATCCAATGGTTCTCAACCTTCCTAATGCCGCGACCCTTTAATACAGTTCCTCATGGTGTGGTGACCCCCAATTTCATAGTTACAAATTGAACATAATTAAAGCATAGTGATTAATCACAAAAACAATATGTAATTATATATGTGTTTTCTGATGGTCTTAGGTGACCCCTGTGAAAGGATCGTTCGACCCTCAAATGGGTCGCGACCCACAGGTTGAGAATCGCTGGTTTAATCCCTGTTTCTGTCCCCCTCCTTTTCACTCAAAAAATCAATGGAAAAATATCCTTGGGTGAGAATTAACAGAAAAACTCATTGCAGTAAGATCCTGAGGTATGAAAAACAGTTGCCATTTAGAAGCTAGAGCATTATATGTCAATGAAATGAGCAATCAGCCCTAAAGTTGCATAGAATTTTGAATCAGATAAATCAGTTTACAGAAAAGAACTTTGAGAACTGTAAGTATATAAACTGTCCTCAATGAGCATGAGCAGTCAAATTGTAGGAACCAAATCAGTGATTAAAAATAATTTATGCCGAAACCAGTTTGGCTCAGTGGATAGAGCGTGGGCCTGCGGACTGAAAGATCCCAGGTTCGATTCCGGTCAAGGGCATGTACCTGGGTTGCGGGCATATCCCCAGTGGGAGATGTGCGGGAGGCAGCTGATGGGTGTTTCTCTCTCATCATGTTTGTAACTCTCTATCTCTCTCCCTTCCTCTCTGTAAAAAATCAATAAAATATATTTAAAAAAAAATAATTTATATTGAGAAATAGAACCAAGTTTTCCTCAACCTTTTTGAATTATGTAATTCAACAATGGTCTAAAAAGAGGATGAACTTTCTGTGATGGTCAGGATTAAAATATAATACATTCCTCAGTTTTCAGAAGAAAAAACGGGTGAATCCAATAAACTATATAATAAAAAGCTAATATGCAAATTATGCTGGCCAACTAACTGTAGCCCCAATCGCCCCCACCCCACCCCAATCGCCCCTGGCCTCACCCCACTCTCCCACCCCTATCGCAATTGGGCGGGCGGTCTGGACCCCACCTGTGCTTGAATAGTCTTGTTATAATCCTTAAGTGAAAATTGCTTTGCTGATAGTCTGCTAAAAGGAATGAAAGATTTTTACATAAACTCAGAAACAGGTTTAGAAGACACATGGGTACTAGTATAACAAGTGAAGGTAAAACTCATATTTTAAAAAA